AAAATAGTTATTGATGCCGAGAAAATTAAATAGTCATGGATGTTGGGCAAGGCAAAATAGCTATTAACACTGGGAAAGTCAAAACACTTTTTAAGACCGGCAATAAAACTATTAAGGTCAGAAAACTGACCCCTTATTTTTCTGTCCCATATTCCTCAACATTTCGTTTTCTGAAAAAAAATTCTTGTCACTTGCTCGATAGAATAGAGTACAAGTTCGAAACAGTCTTCCAAAATTTTTTCGCAAAAGCTGTTGCTCCTTTTGTAAACCTTGGCAGAGACCATTTGGTTACAGATATGTTCGTATTCGTCACTATGTCTGTTCGTAAGCTGTCAGGTTAGTGCATGGTCTTCATAAGCAATCAATATTCTATCGTTATATGTAAATATGCATGGTCTTGTCGGTGTGCGGATGGAACAGTGATGAGGCGAGAGGCGCTTGAGCGGAACGATGACTTTGCCCCTCTAGCTTGGGTAGAGAAGGAGAGCAAGTAGGAGAGCAAGCAGGAGAGCAAGCAGTGACTTAAGTACATCGTCATCTTCTTAAAGACATGCGATGCAAGGAAGATGAGATAAAGATAGAGAGATGGAGAGAAATAAATCGTCGAAAGCAACAGCGAAAGATAGGGGAAAGAAGATTGCCAGGGTATGACCAAAATGAGGTTAAAAGAGAAAATAAATGCAAAGCGAGGAAGGAAAGAAACCAAGAAAGAGGGGGGGGGTGAAAAGTAAGTAGAAAAAGAGAGAAAAAAAGTTTTTTTTTTTTTTTTCAGGGAAAGAGACATGAAGAGAAATGTATTTATAGAAAGAGAGGGGCATAGATAGATAGATAGATAGATAGATAGATAGATAGATAGATAGATAGATAGATAGATAGATAGATAGATAAACCGCCGTGGTGGGGGGGATAAAGAGTGTTAGTAAGTGAGAGGTAAAAAGGAGGCCTAATAGTAACCTAGACAGAAAAGAGTAAACATGATCAGCAGGGAAATGGTTGAATAAAGAGAGAGGCAAAAAGAAAGATTGATATAGAAATAATCGAAGAAAAGTATCGAAGGAGGGGGAAAGAGAGATCATAAAAGCAGAAGGTGAGAGAAAGAAAAAGAGAAAAGGGGGAAAAGCCAAATAGTGAAAGGGGGCGGAAGCAGACAGAGAAAAAAAAAGACTAGGGGTGTAGAAAGGAAAATAGTACGGTCGGAAAAGAGAAAGAAAGAGAGTAACCGTGATAAACAGAGAGGTGATAACAGAGATAAAAAGAGGAAGCTGGATATGCATAGAGAAAGAGAAGAGACGGTAAAGCGATGCAGATGGAAAGTGATAAAATGAGAGAGATACAAGAAAGGTATTGTGATAGAAGAAATGCAGTAAACGGAGAGAGATAGAGAGAGAGAGAGAGAGAGAGGCGGGGGAGTGTTATTAGTGAGAGACACAAAGAGAAAGGGGAAACGGAAAGCGTAGATGAAAGAAGCAAATAAAGAGAGGGGGTTGGGAACCGAAGCTCAAATGAACAGAGCACAATAGAGAGAATGCTAGAGAGTGAAACTAAAAAGAAAAGAGTGAAAAAAGTAATTTTAAGTTAAAAAAAAATGGGGCTAAATAGAAAGAAAGAGGGGGAAACACGCAAATAGAAAAAATATTAATGAGATGATAAGGAGAAGTAAATATAAAGAAGTACAAAAGATAGGTAAAAACGAATAAAAGAGGCGGGTGGGGAGAAACAAATAGTTTTCCAAATGATTGTAATATAGTAGTAATGGTCTGCGTGATTTTCTGGTTAACTACACCACGAGGAAGCTTCGAAGTGTTTATCTTAGGTAGTCTGGCACAAGGGCACTACTGTTTAGGGCGTCAGAGGAGATAGTGTGGAAAGTGAAGAAGGGTGTAAGAGAGCGAAAGAGAGATATAGAAAGGATAGGCTGTGCGCGCAATAGGAAATATAGCAGTAGAGTGAGGCGAGTGGCTTATAATAAAAGTAAGAGACAAAATAAGTGGACACGAGATAGAAATCAAGAAAAAAACAGAGAGAAGAGAAGAGGGAAAGAAAGAAAGAGAGATAGAAAAGAAAGAAAGAAAGAAAGAACGAAAGAAAGAAAGAGAGAAAGAGATAGAAAAGAAAGAAAGAAAGAAAAGGAAGGAATTAAAGAAATAAAAGGAAAAAGAAAGGAAGTAAGAAAGAAAGAAAAAAAGGGAAGAAAAAGAAAGAAATAAAGAAAGAAAAGGAAGGAATTAAAGAAATAAAAGGAAAAGAAAGGAAGTAAGAAAGAAAGAAAGAAAAAAGGGAAGAAAAGGAAAAAAAGAAAGAAAGAAAGAAAAGGAAGGAATTAAAGAAATAAAAGGAAAAAGAAAGGAAGTAAGAAAGAAAGAAAAAAGGGAACAAAAAGAAAGAAAGAAAGAAAGAAAAGGAAGGAATTAAAGAAATAAAAGGAAAAAGAAAGGAAGTAAGAAAGAAAGAGAAAAGGGAAGAAAAAGAAAGAAAGAAAGAAAGAAAGAAAAGGAAGGAATTAAAGAAATAAAAGGAAAAAGAAAGGAAGTAAGAAAGAAAGAGAAAAGGAAGAAAAAAGAAAGAAAGAAAGAAAGAAAAGGAAGGAATTAAAGAAATAAAAGGAAAAGAAAGGAAGTAAGAAAGAAAGAGAAAAGGAAGAAAAAGAAAGAAAGAAAGAAAGAAAAAAGGAATTAAAGAAATAAAAAGGAAAAGAAAAGGAAGTAAGAAAGAAAGAGAAAAGGAAGAAAAGAAAGAAAGAAAGAAAGAAAGAAAAGGAAGGAATTAAAGAAATAAAAGGAAAAAGAAAGGAAGTAAGAAAGAAAGAAAAAAGGGAACAAAAAGAAAGAAAGAAAAGGAAGGAATTAAAGAAATAAAAGGAAAAAGAAAGGAAGTAAAAAAGAAAGAAAGAAAAAGGGAAGAAAAAGAAAGAAAGAAAGAAAGAAAAGGAAGGAATTAAAGAAATAAAAGGAAAAAGAAAGAAAGAAAGAAAGAAAGAAAGAAAGAAAAAAAGAGAAGAAAAAGAAAGAAATAAAGAAAGGAAGAAAGAAAGAAGAATGTTATCACTGTTTCACAAGAAAGGAGGAACGAGAAAACTGAAAAATACAAATGCCGGCATTTAGCGTAACATCGCGTTGCTACCTCTGTCATCGACGCTTGTGCGGGTGTCAGCTGTTGCAGTATGCAAGGGTTTCCTTCTTTACTTTTGATTTTTCTGCAAGATGCTCTCCTTTCTTATATGTACCTCTTTTTTTATTGACGTTTTACTCTACTTTCGTCTCTTTCCCTCGAGCCTTACTCTCCTTTTCAGTAATTCAGTTTCCTGCTTATTGGACGATTTCGCAGTTCTCTTAGAAAGCCTTTCGTAGATATAGAGAAAACCATTCTCTTCTTAATACAGACGTCACTTTCTTTTTTGTTTAATGACGTATACTGATAAATAAAACAAAATGTCATTTGCATCTATCCTCTTTCTCTACCCCCAACACTCTCCACGTTTATTTAACCGCCTTCTTTGGTTACCGGGGAAAAATATGCACGTCTTCTCTTCATTTTTTTTTTTTTTTAAATATTGTTTACGATCATGTTTTGCATCTTACTTTTGCTTTTATCCATATCACGTTCTTTCATTTATACCAGTTTTCTTCCATTCCATTTGCCTTTCTCTCTCTCTCTCTCTCCCTCTTTCTCTCTCAGAATCTTTCTTTCACCCCTTTTCCTCTATTTCCTCTCCCCCTCTTTCTTTTCCTACATCACACTTTCCTTTACCTCCCTCCCAAAATGTTCACGCTCTTTATTCTATTATTTGGCCTCTCACTCTTCCTCATCGCTCTTCTCCCTCTCTTTCTTTTCCCAGGACCCTTTCCCTCTACCATCCTCTTTCCTGAAAGTTCTTCTCCTTCCCACTCTATTTCTTTCTTTCATCTTTTCTCCCTTTCTCTTTCCCTTAATCGTTTGCAGCTCTTTCTTATCTTTACTCCCACTCTCTGTCTGCTTTCTTATAAAACTACGCTATATATATATATATATATATATATATATATATATATATATATAGATAGATAGATAGATAGATAGATAGATAGATCTGGGAATTCCTTCTAAAATCCATTGCTTTTATCGCTCTTCGTCTTATCGTTTCTCGATCTTAGACTTAAATTACTTTAACGCAGTTTTTTTATTATTTGTCTTTCTCCCTTTCTCTCTTTTATCCTCCTTCTCCACATCTCACGATTCCCTCTCCTTACCCTCTCTTAGTTTCTTTCATCCTCTTCTTATCCTTCTCAACCACTCTCATCACTCTTTTGATCCCATCTCTCTCTAAGCCTATCTGTCTCAACTTTTACTCTTTCACTTCGTCTTTCTTTTGCTCTCTTTATTTTTGTCTCTTTGACATTATTCTACTTCTATGTGATTCTTAATATCTTCCACGCTTTCTTTCTCTTTTCTCTTTCTCTCTCTCTCTCTCTCTCTCTCTCTCTTTCTCTCTCTCTCTCTCTCTCTCTATATATATATATATATATATATATATATATGTTTAATTTCTTTTTTCTCGTATATTTCCTTTTTTATGTCCTTTGTTTTTCATCATCCCCTTCTTCTTTACCATTTTTTCAACCTGTCGTTTTCTGTCAGCCAATTTCTGTTTTCATATATATTTTTTTTCTGTTAAGCTTCTTTGAATCTCTCTTTTACCGTCTCCCTCCCTCTTTGTCTCTTTCTCTCCCTGTCTCTCTCTCACTCTCACTCTGTAGCATGTTTTTCTTTTCATCTTTTTCTTTCCCCATCTTTCTTTCTTTTAACCTCTTCCTACCTTTCTCTCTCTCTCCTTCCCTCTCTCTCTCTCTCTCTCTCTCTCTCTCTCCTGTTTTCCAACGTCATCTCCCTGAATCATTCCTATCGCTCCGTTATCCGTCTCGCCCTCCTTCTCACGTTTTTCTTCTCCAGCTCTTTCTCTTATCTCATGTAGCACAAGTCTTGTTGCAACCGGGTCGACTGTGTTCAACTACTACGTAGTGGACACTGCACAGCTTGTATAGCCGTGTGCTCGCTCTTCTACCAAGAAACAGTCGGAAACTGGCGCTCAAAGCCATAAATACGTACACAGATATCTATCTATCTCTCTCTCTATATATATATATAAGTGCGTGTGCGTATGAATACATATGCGTGTATATACATACACCTAGTTACAGATAGCAGACTAGTACAAGCGTAGACGGACTGCAGAAGACACACAGACACAAGCAAAGCGGATGTAGGTGCATATTCTTGTGGCACATGCGCACACGCAACTTCTGGTTTCACTTTCGTTTTCCGACGCTCACACGCACACATGCTAAAGCCGTTGCACGCGCGTACAAACACACAAGGTGTCACTTTCCTATGCACGTACGCCCGCACCAAACGGATTGCGTAGAGGCAGGCGGCACACGCTGTTTGTAGACGTATTCAAAATAGTTGAAAGCGTAACCAACGAGAGGGACAACATGCGCTGACGGCTTCGTGTCGTCAAGACGAGTTGCTTGTGGACCCGAACATCGTCTGGAGACGGCCTGTTCGGCTCGTTTTAAGGTTTTATTTTACAAACTGATAATATTTAAAAAAAAAAAAAAAAAAAAAAAAAACAAGAGAAAAAAATATCTGAAAAGCAGAGTAGTGGAGACGGAGGAACGAAAGGAATTGAGGAAAAATATTTACGGAGGCAGACCGGAGAAAAAAAAAAAAAAAAATAAGACGACCGAACATTAAAAAAAAAAGAAAAAATAACAGATAAAAAAAACCCTAAAATTTAAAGAAGTAACAACAGTTATTTTTGGTGGGTAGAGAGAGGGAGTAAGGAAGAGTGACGGAGAGGAAGTGTGTGTGTGTGAGTGTGTGTGAGTGAAAGAGAGATATAAGAAAAGTAGTCATATGTGTTGCTTAGTTATGTTAGACGGATCAGTGTAAAAATACTATCTTTTGAAAGTTTAAAGAAAAGTAGTTACGATTGTTTTGGATTAAGTGATATATCTTATTTATTTATGAGACAAACTGAGAAAGTACTGTGTGTTTGTGAGTGAAAGGCAAAGTAAAAATATTAAATCGGTGAAATGACTTGTGAACGGAATTAAAGAAAACAGATTTTTAAGTCACAATTTTTTTTTTTTTTTATAAAGTTAGAGAGTTTTTTTTTTAAAAATTAAACAGAAGTATATTTTAAGAAAACGATATAAAGAATTTTTTTTTTCTTTTAAAAATCATATTTATACTAATAAGTAATAAAGGCAAGTGAATGAGAGCGAGACGAATACAAGCAGTGTGCGGAAAACTAACACTGGGAACGAGAGATAAAGAACGACTGAAAAGAAAGAAAAAAGAAAAGATCCAAGAAGAAAGAAAGAAAGTGTGAGAAAGAAAAAAAAGGTAAAAAAAAAAAAAAAAATAATAACTAAAAAAAGTGGGGAAAAGAAAATGAAATAAATGCTAAACACCGAAACAGGACTGAAAACGCCTCGAGTGTAGAAAAAAAACAAAAAACAAAAAAAAAAAAATAGAAAAAAGAGAAGGTATTTTCCTTATAATTTCTTTAAAAAAAAAATCATTAATTCTCACGTTCTTTCCTTCTACTTTCTTTCTTTCTTTCTCTCTCTCTCTCTCACTTTCACTTTTTCTCCCTCTCCACTTCGAATTTTTCTTTTTTAACCGATTAAAAAGAAAATCGAAAAATCGAGTGGGGAGAATACAGAGAGTCGTAAACACTTATACAAATTTTACGGAATTACGCATGCGCAAACTAGCACCTTTAAACACAAGCTAATATATACGTATAAATAAATATACATTTACTCACATAAAACATATATATCTATATTTGTTTATATATATATACGTATATATGAATGGATATCTGTTCATGTATACGTATATTTGCCTGTAATTACAGTTAATGAAACAATAAAAAGCACATATTGAAAAAATGATATGGTTGCAATAATTCGGAAGTTCAAACGTAACTGTTTTCCCACGTATACTTTAAATTATACCCATACACGCAGATATATTGGTTAAAATATCTTTTAACACGTTCTTAATTCTAAATAGTTCGCAGACCCCAATATGTAGTTCCTTCTCTCTCTCTCCTTCTATCTTGTCTCTAATTTTGCGGGAGCTAAAAATTATTGTAAATTACTTATCGATAAACTATATTTAAAAAAATCGAACTGAGATATTTGTTAATAACATTTAAGGTTTTATTGTTTCAACCAAATACTGAGGATCAATACGAAAAAAGGGGACGAATTGCATACTCTTATATATAGAGATTAGAGAGATAAAGAGAAAGAGAGAGAGAGAGAGAGAGGAAAAAAAAAGGAAATTGTGTATAACCTATTAAAAGCAATGGTATGGGTGATATTATAAAGGCGTTATAATTCAAGGCTTTGTCAAAAAAAAAAAAAAAATTTAAAGCCAAAAATTTCAAAGAAATAAATTTTAAAAGTCCACTGTCTCCGAAAAAGGTAAAAAAAAAAACAAAAAAAAAAAAAAAGATAAAAAAAGTTCAGGTTGCGATTTCTGTGTCTTGTACAAATTACGGTCACCCACAAAACTCCGGTCTGATGTCGTAAAAATAATAATTAATGATATAAAATATAATTATAGTAAAATCCTGATAAAAATCGCGATTTAATAAAATTCCACTCATCTCTACACCAATCTAGTTTTGTCTACACGTTACGAAATATCTTAAGTGAGTACGTTGGAAAGCTACCGTTGTCAGTATGGAAGAGGTAACTTGTATAAAACCTTACGTGACATCACCCGATCAAGTATCTTTATCGCGACGCTCTAGTGGGAAATCAACGAGAGTCTCTCCTTCAGCAAAACTCGCTCGTGCGGCCGCTAAAAAGGTAGGTGCAATACCCCATGCCAACATTTTTCATGAAATAAAGGTCAATATTTATTTACGTGCTTTAAATGTAGTATGCGTATCATTAAAAATATTTTTTTTTTCTTCTTTCAAAAACATTTTTTTCTTAATTTTCGAAATGTTTATTTTTTTTTTTTGAGTAGGCTTACTATTGCCGATATCTCTTCATAGTAGGATTATTTTTTTTTAATCAAGTGGTTCATTAATATTACGAGTCAAATCTTCACTGGTCAGTATACAC